TATCATAGTATCACAGTGTACTTCTGTGCACAATCACTCGTGGTATCACAAAAGAACACCAGACAAATACCACTCAACCAGTAAGTGAAAGGAAAAAAGTTAGAGAACAAAGATTACCCTACAATGAGCTTATTCCCCCATAAATAATGTTGATTGATGCAAAAATACTTTCCATTATTCTCACAAAACTTTCTTTAAATAGTCTAGTTCAGCTATTTAGATTCAATCCCCTAAAAAATAAACTCAAATTCAGGACAGAGGGAACATGAGTGACCTGACCTAATCCTAAGGCCACATAACTCAGGTATTAGAATACTTCCAACTCTGCTGGCCAAGGATCAGGTTTCAAAGACAGGTACTTCAGAGACAGATGTTTAATTTTCTGAATTTGAAGTTAATTCAAACAAGAAAAATATGGAATATTTTTTGAATAAGAGGACCAGTCTGTCTGCAAAGTGAGAATAAGTACTTTCTTTACAAAGTTAAATAGTATGCATTCTCTTTCACTTATTAAATTTTCAACATTAGTTCCTCAACAAATCCTTTATTCAAGTAATGTAGAACCAAAACTCAGAGGATTGTATAGGAAATAATTTCTTTCCAATCTTAGAAATTAAACCAGTTCATAGACAAAGCATTTTAAAGCACATGGCAAATCTGAAGATGAGATACACCATCTTTCACTATCCAATCAATAGAAAGCAGTAATAACAAAACTATAATAGTTCAAATACAGTTTTTAAACCCTGATGATTGTGGAAACAAACTAATAACTTGAAGGGGAGGGAGGAGGCTGCAAGTAATTACCTGCAGGTAATTTAAGAAGACCTGCTTTCTTCTCTTCATCTCTTACAAAGATATTTTTTAAAACTACCCCATCATTCAAACACCTAAAAGTTTAAGAGTCTGGCTACCTCACAATCTTCTAAAACCTTTTTTCAAGATGTATACTTAATCATTTTCTTCTTAAATTAAAATGTGTTCAATCTTTAAAAAAAAAAAAAAATCCTGTGCGAATAGTGACTCTCATGCAAAGTCCAAAAAAGGCTTAATTGGTACCTCAAAAGTAAACAGCCAACTTGAGCGGGGAGAAAAACTGTTAAAAGCAGTTTAGCATCTTAAAATTCGGCAGAAATATCCATCCAGAGGGAGGAATTCAGAATGGGGAAGAGGGGAAGACAGTGTTAAACATTCATGCCTGCTAACAGAATCAAACTAGGATACTTGACATGTTTTGGGTTCTTCAGTTTGTTTAAGACCATTAATGATAAAAATAACAAAACTCTGATCTAAAAGTTCATTATTACAGGTTTGGAAAGCAACAAAAAATTCTTCCTTCTTCACTACCATCCCACCCCCGCCCCACGCCATTCCCCCACACACTCCCACAAAGAAAATTAAAACTCAAAATGGTTAGAATCAACTGAAAGCCTTCAAGTCAAATGTGTATATGAGAGGCACTATAATTCATTAATACATCAGAAGAAAATAATAAGATATATCAAGCTCTCACATTTTCTAGAGGTGGGAATGAGGATGAGTGTGGTATTCAGTTTCTTCCAGGATCACTACCAGTGCTGATGTTGAAGTGACCCAAGGTTCAGCTTGGATAGAGCAGCACTGGCACAAATGATACCCAAGTTGTAAAGCCAGAGTATGGTAGGGGAAGGACGGCAGACTGCGATAGAAAAGAAAGATTTGGGCTTTTTTACTTAATTTTGTTATTTTTCTTTAACAAAAAACCGACAGGAGTTCAATGATGGGCGCGTCCTCCAAATTCCACGTTTTAAAGAAAGCCAGCTCAATTCACACAAGGTAATGCAGGGGGCAAAGGACTGAGGATAGAACAAGGAGAACTAAGAAGAAAAAAGCGCGGGCGATCAAGCTGGTAGTCTAAGAATGGGAGGAAGGGAATAAAGAGGACAAGTGAGGGAACGATCCATAGAAGAAAATTAGGACAGCACTTCAGCTTGGCGCCCCCGAGCAGGCCAAGCAGCAGCGGGAGTCCTTTCCAATTATTCGCCCCCGCCCCCTACTTTCATAAATGAATGAAATTCGGCAACTCAAGAGCAGGGTGGCTTCCATGTCCCAATTCCTCCCGTGCGTCAAGAGAGGAGCTCGAGGTTCAGGTCCCCATCGCTCACACCTCTCCCCCACCCAAGGACGGCCACCTTCGGGCCAAACAGAAATTGGTCTCGGGGCTTCCTCGGCCGCTAGGAAGTTCCGCACGCAAGTCAAAACCTTTCTCAGACTTTCTCAGCCCGCCTTGGATAACGTGAACCGCTCTGCCGTAATGGGAGTTCTCTCCGCCCCCCTCGGTTTATTCCCCACCCCACCCTCCGTCCCCCTTTCTTGGAGTGTGAACGACCTCTCCCCTTCTAGGGGCGTTTAGGGATCATTCCAGTCACGTCTTTTGGGGGGAAATGCACAGAACGCTGTCTTCAGGAGCCACAGCTCCCTGAGGGGCGGAAAGGTCAGGGCAAGGAACAAGGAATTCCAAAGGCCCGGCTACCTCAGCATCTCCCGCCATTTCCCTCCCGAGTTTCCCGGATGTAACCCCTTCCCCCGCGGCGGTTAAAAGAGACCAGGCGGCGGCGACTCCCTTTGATACAAGAGGAGGGAACTCCAATATGGTCCAGCTTCTGCCGCCCAGGGTTTCCGGCGACTCAAAATTTTATCCCACCTTGGAGGCCATCCGAGAGAAAGAATCTACCCAGTAGATCCCCTTCACTTTACACTCACCATCAGTTCCAGCTTATCGACCTCCGCCTCCATGTTGAATAGTTGACATTCCTCAGACCGCGGCGGTGCTTAAGCCGCAAACCGTACTAGCACTGAGGGTCCCTATTGGACAGCTGTCACTCAACGTCTCACACTCATTGGTTCCTCCGCTTCACTGGCGCCCGCCCATTGGCGACTGGGTAACGCCCCTCCACATGAAACACTTTCTCTAGTTGGGCAAAGACACAAAACGCTGCAGGAGGATTGGCTGCTGTGCACTTTTTTTTTCCATTGGCTGCACCCTCATCTCTACTTTCAATTTCATAGTTAGGGCTCCGCAGAGAAGAGCTTGCGATTGGTACAATCGGAAGAAGAGCCAACCAATGACACAAAAGCTTCCACAAACAGCATAGGGACGTGACACACCTTCTTAGGTCTCCTGCTTCCCCTCCCCTTCGCTCCCGCCTTCCACTTATTCATACAAGTAGCGCCTCAGCTTTCATTGGCCAGCACGTGGTGACCTCCTAACCAATCACAAACCAGACTGTGCTCCGACACTGCCCAGAGAGCGAATCATGGGGAGACCTTTGCTATGATTGGTCCCTCTATGATAAGGTTTTAATTTTAAATCTTTCTTTATGGCGAAGGAGAGGCCTCTACCCGGACTCCATCTATACCGGGGCTCTTAGACTTGTAAGTGCAGGGAGATCTCCCTTTGTAACCTGGGCTCGCGTCTTCAGTAGCTGGGCCTTTGCTGCTTGTGTTCTTAAGATTTACGGAGGTGGGGACTTTAGCTGGACTCGGGGAGATAAACTGGGAAGAGGAGGTTTGAGGTTGGGTAAGAAGTGCTCGGCCTGGCTCCACCCTAACCATACTTGTATTTAATTAACGCTCAGCAAAATATGTTTTGGAGCAAAGCATCTGCCTTCCTTTTGCACATTCCTTTAGATCTTTGCTATTCAGTGTTGTCCGGGGACCAACAGCATCTGCATCACTTGGGCGCTTGTTAACAATGCAAATTATCGGACTCCACCCAGACCCACTGAATCAGAACATGAATTTTAACAAGATCTCCCACCCCCAGTGATTCTTATGCACGTTAAAGTTTGAGAATATATATTTCTTGACAGGCAGTATTACTATGTTCCTTGATATGCTCTTAATACCGTCTGAGGTTTTGTGAGAGCGTCAATTTAAAAAGTGTGCCCTGTTTACTTGTGCCTAATACTGTGTTGGACTACGTTTTAGGGAGCTGCAAACTCTTCAGAGAAACAAGACAGGAACTAAAAAAGCATTGTTGCACTGTGTAAAACAAAATTAAAGTACCAGAAATACCCTATGAATGTTCAAGAGTAATGAACTAGTAATGGAAATTGATTAATTGACTGAAAGCTGTTTATGGGAAAGTGTAAGAACCTACATTAAAATGTGTTTTACGAAAAGGGTAATGAAATGCAATTGTTATTTCCGTTGCTGTCACAGTTTTGGAAGTACCCCCTGACCAAAAGCACTTGTCACTGGGTGGAGTTTTAATAGAAGCAGCAGTGCCAACTGAGTAACAGAGTAATATAGAATTATATATATATATATATATATATATATATATAAACTAGAGTATATATATATATGTATAATATAGAGTAATTCTCGCCCTATTATTTATTGCATTTTCCTACTGGAAATAGTTTTGGAGCCCTCCTTTAACCATATGAAGGTGTATGATTTGAAGAACTAAAAACCTCCCTCACTGAGAGAGTTTACAAAATGTAATTGTAGTAAAGCATATTCCTTAACTTACAAAGAGATCCCTTGCTAGCTAACACTTAGCAGGAATGATTTATTTCATTCATTTATTGAATGAAAATTATTTAATGCCTGCTACACTCTTGGTCCCAGGGAAACCAAGATGAATAAAATTTATCCTAACCTTGAAAAGCCCACAGTCCAGCTGGGTGATAAATACACAAACAGAAGTTACAATGCAATACAATAAATGTTATAATAAGAGTGTGTATAAAGTGCTATAGAAGCACAAAAGAGATGACATTTTCTTTTCTTTTTTTAAGATTTTATTTATTTATGTGACAGAGACACAGCAAGAGAGGAAACACAGCAGGGGGAGTGGGAGAGGGAGAAGCAGCCTTACCGCGGAGCGGGGAGCCCAATGAGGGGCTCGATCCCAGGACCTGGAGATCATTACCTGAGCCGAAGGCAGACGCTTAACAACTGAGCCACCCAGGCCCCCTGACATTTTCAATTTAGTATAAATTCCATAAGGACATAGACTATGTTGGCCTTGTTTGGAATTGTATCCCAAAAGCTACCACACCTACCAACCATGGTGGATTATCAGCATTCAACAAATATCTGTGAGAAAAAGTAACAGCATCTGGTGTTTGGCATACCTGAAGTACAAACCACTAATCACTAGAAGGGATGAAGCTGCAAAGGGCCATCAGACTAAACTGTGACAATCTTTGAAAGGTATGGTAAGGAATTTAGTTTATCCAGGGGATGAAAAGGAATCTTCAAATACCTTTTTTTTTTTTAAGATTTTTATTTATTTATTTATTTGAGAGACAGAGTGAGGGAGAGAGAGCACAAGCTGGGGGAGGGGCAGAGGGAGAAGCAGACGATGAGCAGAGAGCCCGATGCAGGACTCGATCCCAGGACCCTGGGATCATGACCTGAGCTGAAGGCAGACGCTCAATCGGCTGAGCCACTGAGGCGCCCAGAATCTTCAAATACTTTTAAGCAAGGGAATATCAGGATTTTTTTTTTTTTTTAACTATAATTGTAGAAAATGATTGGCAAGGAGAAAGGCTGAAGTCAGGAGAATCATTAGAGGAATATTCAGACAAACTCAAACTGAGGGACGTTTTCCAAAACAACTGGTCTGGGGGCGCCTGGGTGGCTCAGTCGTTAAGCGTCTGCCTTCGGCACAGGTCATGGTCCCAGGGTCCTGGGATCGAGTCCCGCATCGGGCTCCCTACTGGGCGGGAAGCCTGCTTCTCCCTCTCCCACTCCCCCTGATTGTGTTCCCTCTCTCGCTGTGTCTCTCTCTGTCAAATGAATAAATAAAATCTTAAAAAAAAAAAAAAAAAAAAAAACTGGTCTGGAGTCTTCAAAAATATAAATAGGAAGAAAGGCAAATACATGAAAAGTTTAGGGAACTGTTGTGAATTAAGGGAGACTAAAAAGACACTACAGTTAAATGCACTGTGGAAAGGGAAAGGGAGCAGCTGTAAAGGATATTATTGAGGTAAATGGGGTAATTATGGACTGTTTCTTAGATACTATCAAGCTTAAATTTCCTGACTCTTATTGTGCTTTTGTAGGAGAATGTCCATGTCCATGTTTGGAAACTCAGTAGAAGTATCTAGGTGTGAAGTATCATGATGTCTGCAACTAACTCTGCTCAGCCAAAAACTAAAAACTATTATTTGTGTATATATATGTTATATATCTATATACACATATATCTTTCATATTTTTTATTTTGAAAAATTTCAAACTTTGTGAAAATTTACAAAAATAGTATAATTGATGCTCATTATTTACCTAGATTCATCATTTGCTGTCTTTCTGTTTAGGGGTGTGTATGTGTATAATATATAATATATAAAATCATATAAAATATAAATTTATATATTACATACACTTATTATGTAAATTATACATATAGTGTGTAATATATATTATACACACACCTATACAGAAAGAAAGTTAACAGATAACAATTGGTGAATCTAGGTGAATAATGAGTATTTTTTTCCAGAATTAGCATGATCTTTTTAATTTTTTTTATTTTTTATTTATTTTTTTCTTGAATTCTTTTTTCTCAAGGTTTGAAATTTTTCAAAATAAAGAGCAGGGGAAATAGACTATTTAGCAAAAATAAAACATGGGAAAGATGGCAAAGACAACTAAAATCAGGACAGAAAGGGGAGGGATAGAAAGAAGGGACAGGATGAATTAATCAGATAAATATTTCTAATTCATGTATATTAATATATGTATATAAGTGCAATATATAATACATATTATATATTTTCTATTCTATAATAGAGTATCCTAATTTCCTCACCTACCTTTTTGTGTGTGGTAGTACAGATTGTTTTCAATCAGCCTTAAATTCCTTCCAAAACAAGGCAGGTAAAAAGGAAGAGTACTTTTCAATAAAAAAGTAGGAAAAATGCTTTAAGTAATCATGAAAAAAAAGGGGCGCCCGGGTGGCTCAGTCAGTTGCCTGTCGACTCTTGGATTCGACTCAGGTCCTGATCTCATGGCTGGTGGGATCCAGCCTGGAGTCGGGCTCCATGCTCAGCTGGAGTCTGCTTGGATATTCTCTCCCTCTGCCCCATCCCCGTCTTTCGCTTTCTATCTCTCTCTCTCAAATAAATAAAGTGAATCTTTAAAAAAAAAAATCGTGAAAAAAAAAGAGCTTCTATCTAGTGTTAGTAGTTGGAATCCCACCTAGTCCAGCAAAAAGAATTTGTATGTCTCATAACTCTTCTGGAAAGGGGACAAGTATATGTGTTTTAACCTTGAGGAACACTGTTAAATATTTTTTCAGACAAGTATCCTCTGCAGAATATCTAATGCTTTTAATAAAGCAATGATAGGGGCGCCTGGGTGGCTCAGTTGGTTAAGCGACTGCCTTCGGCTCAGGTCATGATCCTGGAGTCCCGGGATCGAGTCCCGCATCGGGCTCCCTGCTCGGCAGGGGGTCTGCTTCTCCCTCTGATCTCTTCCCACTCGTGCTCTCTGTCTCTCATTCTCTCTCTCTCAAATAAATAAATAAAATCTTAAAAAAAAAATAAATAAAGCAATGATAATAACAAACTTTAGCTTGTTGAGTTCTCTGTCTTTTTTTGAGGTAGGAATTCATTATCTTTCATTTTTGGAAGCACGGTTATTACTTTTGAATGGAACACTAATCTAGGAATTATCTCAGACTGTACCTTTTTACTCTGACAGATTTGACATATTCTCTCAATTCTCTGCATATGCCAATTAATTACTGTAGTTAATTAGAAGGTTATTAGAGTAACAATGACCCAGAGACCAGACACACACACACACACGCACACACAGAGAGAGAAAAGAGAAGGGAGAAAATATGATTTAGTTCCTAGATTTTTTTTTCATTGAAAAATAATCTCCAGGGGCGCCTGGGTGGCTCAGTTGTTAAGCGTCTGCCTTCGGCTCTGGTCATGATCCCGGGGTCCTGGGATCTAGCCCTGCCTCGGGCTCCCTGCTCAGCGGGAAGCCTGCTTCTCCCTCTCCATTCTCCCTGTTTGTGTTCCTTCTCTCACTGTGTCTCTCTCTGTCAAATAAATAAATAAAATCTTTAAAAAGAAAGAAAGAAAGAAAACTAATCTCCAAAATGGCATACATGAACTTGTGTAGGACTCTTTAGAAATTTGAATGCACGGCATTGGAACAACCACCAGGAAAGGGTGAGAAGAGAAAGAGAAGGCCCAGTTTCAGAATGATGGTGCTCTGTTTTTCTAGCTAATAATATATACCAGAGGTTAACTGTCAAATACTACTACAGGGCTTATCATACTTAGAAACAAACAAACAAACAATGGCAGTCTTCTGAATCATCTCTCTATAATCCTGACTCCAAGTTGCCAAGGGCAATACTATCCATTCTTGTAATTGTTCAGGTGTTTACCTCCGTGTTTTGTTTTGTTGGGTTTTTTTTAAGATTTTATTCATTTATTTGACAGAGAGGGACACAGCCAGAGAGGAAACACAAGCATGGGGAGTGGGAGAGGGAGAAGCAGGCTTCCTGCTGAGCAGGGAGCCCGATGCAGGGCTTGATCCCAGGACCCTGGGACCATGACCTGAGCCGAAGGCAGATGCTTAATGACTGAGCCACCCCGGCGCCCCTATTTCAATGTTTCTAAATAACATGCTTACAATACTATTTCTTTTCTTTCCTTTTCTTTCTTTTTTCTTTTCTTTTCCCTTTTCTTTCCTTCTTTCTTTCTTTCTTTCTTTCTTTCTTCCTTCCTTCCTTTCTTCCTTCCTTCCTTCCTTCCTTCCTTCCTTCCTTCCTTCCTTCCTTCCTTCCTTCCTTCCTTCCTTCCTTCCTTCCTTCCTTCCTTCCTTCCTTTCTTTCTTTCTTTCTTTTCTTTCTTTTTTTTTTTCTTTCTTTCCTTCTTTCACCATTATCCTGGATATTGCTATTGTTTATCTTAATTCTGTGCTCACACTTAACTGAACATTTGGCCAAGTATAGAATTCCAGGACTGAAAACTTTTTCGTTCAGAATTCCAGTGTGGCTGTTGGAGTCTGATGCTATTCTCTTCTCAGTCCTGTTTCTATACTGTTTCCTCTCTCCTGAAGCCTTTAGAATCTCCTCTTTTTTTTTTTTTAAGATTTTTATTATTTCAGAGAGAGCGAGAGTGAGAGAGATCACAGAGGGAGAGGGAGAAGCAGACTGCCCCCTGAGCAGAGAGCCCAATGTGGAGCTTGATCCCCTGACCCCAATCAATGATCATGAGAGCTGAAGGCAGATACAACCAACTGAGCCACCCAGGGACCCCTTCACTTTATTTTTGTGATGTCATGCCTCAGTGTGGATCTTCTTTTATTCATTATACTGAGTGGACATTTCAATCTGGAAATTCAAGCCCTTCAATTCTAGAGAATATTTCTGTATTGTTTATTTGACAAAATTCTCTCCATTTCTCTGTTCTCTCTTAAAACTTTTTTTTCCGTAAAGATTTTATTTATTTATTTGAAAGAGAGATTGAGAGAACAAGTGGGAGGAGGGGCAGAGGGAGAAGCAGACTCCCTGCAGAGCAGGGAGCCTGATGTGGGACTTGATCCTAGGACCCTGGGATCATGACCTGAGTTGAAGGCAAATGCTTAACCGACTGAGCCACCCAGGTGCCCTCTCCTAAAACTTTTATATTCTAACTGTTGTATTCCTTTTTTTTTTTTCAAGAGAGGGAGAGAGTAGGGGCAGAGTGAGAGGGAGAGAGAGAGAGTCTTAAGCAGGCTCCATGCCCAGCACAGAGTCTGATGCGGAGCTCAGTCTCACAACCCTGAGATCATGAACTGAGCCAAAATTAAGAGTCGGCTGCCTAACCAACTGACCCATCCAGGTGCCCCTGTATTACATTTTTAAAATTTCTATTTTTAATTTTTAAGAGTTTTTTTCTCATCCTTCTTGTTCATGAATGCAGTGTCTCATTTTCTGAAAAAAAATTTTTTTTTCCTTCTGCCTTCTACATTCTTTCTTTTTTTTTTTTTTAAGATTTTATTTATTTATTTGAGAGAACGAGAGCACAGGGAGGGGGAGGGACCAAGGGAGAGGGACAAGCAGACTCCCTGCTAAGCAGAGAGTCCGACCAGCACTGGGTCTCAGGACCCTGAGTTCATTACCTGAGCTGAAGTCAGATGCTTAACAACTGAGCCACTTAGGTGCCCGGTCTGCTTCCTACATTCTTTCCATTTCCTTTGAA